ACTGCGTCTGCTTCTTGCAAGAGAAATAGAGAAATACAAAAGTTTGCTTTGGAGGTTAATAGATGTAAAACTTGTGGAAATGTTGAAGCTATAGTGGGAAATGGTTTTAGGAGGAAATATTGACATGGGGTGATGGAAAATGCAATATTAGCTGGTGTTTCTTGACTGAAAATCATTTTGTTACTATATGAACATAAGATACATTGACTGCCATCCTGTCAACCTCATAAAGTTGAATTTCACTATTGCACAACATCCATATTGTCGGGAAAGGAACAGAGATATAGGTAGACCATCAGAACCACTGTGGGAGAGAAGCTAGTAGTGCAGCCATCACATAACATATCCTGACACACAATGTATCCTGATGCACAATGTGGTCCTGCTGAGCAATGGGAGTTCTCATTGCACAATGGACATCTTGTATAGTGCCCCATTGTGCATTGTTGCAATTCACTAGCATAGTCATATATCAGGTGTATGTGTGGGTGTTGCTGTTGTTGTTATATTTGCTGTTTTCCCAACCTGGCACTCAAGACAGCTTACAACAGTTAAAACAGATACAGCTAAAAATTTGCATCAGAGAAAAGTTAAATATACTTAAACTCTCAATAGAATTAAAGACAGTTAAAAATAGACCATGACCCTCATAGCCCTCCCAAAACAAAGGTGTGTTCACCTGCCTATGAAAGGATTAATAATAATAATAATAATAAATTTTATTTTTAACCCGCCCCTCTGCATCGCAATCGGGGCGGCGTACAACAGTTAAAATACAACAGTTAAAACAATTCAAATCCTGATCCCTCCTCCCACATCCCACCCACACCCCTTAAAACAAAATTAAACTGGAAGGATGTATTAAAACAATGACAATATAGGAATAAAATAGAATAAAAGATTGATAAGGAGAGTGCCAATCTAACCTCTCTAGGGCTGAAATAATGCAGTTTGTCACCACTTTAACTATCATGGCTCCATGCTGTGGAATCCTGAGATTAGTAGTTTGTTGTGACACCAGAGCTCTCTGACAGAGAAGGCTAAATATCTCACAAAACTACAAATCTCATAATTTCATAGCATTGAGCCATGGCAGTTAAAGCAAAGCAAAGCAAAGCAGCTTCATTTATATACCACTTCATATCGCACTATGGGATGTCTAAGTAGTTTACAACTGTAAGCTCATTGCCCCCCAACAGTTGGGTACTCATTTTAGCGACCTCAGAAGGATGCAGGTCTGAGTCTAGCCTAAGCCCTGGCTAGTATTGAACTTGCAACCTTGTGGTTTATGAGTGAGTGGCTGCATGAGCCACCAGAGGTGTCAAACATCTGCAGTGTAGATGCAGCCTAGGAATAGAGCTCCAGAGCCTGGGAGAAGCCACATAGAAGATTCCACATTCCCACCAGATTTCCTGGTGAGGGTGGTGGGACTCACTAGAAGTGCCTCTTCAGAAGTTCTCAAAACATGAGTAGGCTCATATAAGAAAATGAACTTCAGATAACCTGGATCAAAGCCGTATAGGGCTTCGTAGGTCATAACTCTGCACTGCTTGGGTCCAGACTACTTGAAAGACTGTTAGGGCCTTTGCAGACTGCCAGAAATAGTGCAAATTGAGTCTACTTTAAGGGTTAGGGTTAGTGCTAGGGGATCATGGGAATTTTTTTTCTGAGACATCTCTGCCTTCTCTGCCAGAGAGCTCTGGTGCCACAATAAAATACAGTTCCCATGATTCCCTAACCCTAACCCTAACTGTTAAAGTGGACTCGATTTGCATTATTTCCGGCAGTCTGCAAAGGCTTAAACCAGGGCATGCATTTAGATTGGCTGGAGATGGTTTTCTTACAGTCCCACCACCCTAGCTATTTTAATCATAGTTTTAATAATATTGATATTTGATTCCTTTTCAGCTTTTGTAAATTAATGTTTAAGTTGGCTCTTTTTAAAATTATTGTAAGCTGCCTTGGGTCCCATTTTAGGGGAAAGGTAGCATATAAGTGCAAGCAAGAAAGCATTTTGAATTATACTCAAACTGACCTGGCAGCCAGTGGAATTGTTCCAAGACAATTGTGTGCTCCCTATAGACAACCCCAATTAGCAATATGAACAGTTTGTTATAAAGATAGTATTCATTATTCTAAAAGAAAATACCTCATAATGCATTTTTATTTTATTTTTTCCAAAAATATGTTGTGGGGGGGGGGGATGGGGAAAGACATGTTTTCCTTTTTTTTTTCCCCTAATTCTTTTTCCAGGTTTTCATATCTCTGCTTAAGAGTATGGTTTGGAAGAGATTTGGCAGATAGGAAGAGCTGGTTGCTAAATTGGGAATGGGGCATTTTTCCAAGTCTTAAGATGGGTTCTAGGTTCCAGGGTGTAGGGTTCTATAAAACCTATGCATCAACCTGGAAGATAAATGAGCCAAGTCAAAGTATGATTGATGGAATGTATATGCTAGAATAGACCAAAAGGCCTAGTGCAGAGCTTGGAAAAGTTACCTTTTGGAACTCTAATAGGCAGAATCTCCCAGCCAAGCTCTGGTCTCATACAGTCCCCAGTTCCTTGCTAGAGGCTTCCAGGGCTTCCACAAGCTGGTCATTGACATTGGTGTCTGTCCTCCTCTGAGTATTTATTGCCTACACACAGACGTCAGTACTGATACTCATGTCTTCCCACAGTGAATTCTGTGAATCAACCTCCTGTCCAAGTTGGCATGATACAGATCTTGTAACTAAACATGACTCCCATCATTCCAACATGGGCTGAGACATGTGAGAATTGTAGTCTAAAATGTCTGGAGGGCACAGACTTGGGAAAAACTCTTGTAAATTAACTCTGCTTTGTGTGAGAGAATTCCCTGTGGATAAAACCTATGAAATACAGTGGGTGAAAATATTCCATTGTTGGCTTGAATGTAACACTGATTTCTGTTCATCTATTTGTATTTGTACTCTTTCTGTCCTAAAATAATCTCTCTTTTCTTTGAATCCATTTTGACATATTCACAAATGTGTATCTGAGAGGTACAAATTGCTCTCCAAATAAAAATTGATCTACTGGGGCTCTTAATCATGTAGACTCCACATACACACAGTTAATCATACAGATTAAATAATTAGGTACAAGTACTGAATGAGTAACTGGAAAATGTTTACCTGATTATGGATATTTCTGCAATTTAGCATTTCAAAGGCTAAGTGAATTTTGACCCCAGAGATGAGTGCTCTTCAAGAATCAATGTGGTCCATATGCTTGATTAATAGCTTGTCATAAAGCTGCCTGGATTTAGGTTTCCCAAAAGAGAACCAGATCATAAAATTATGCAATGTAGCAGTGCCTCCCTGAAAGAGAAAGGAACAAATAAGAAAGAACCTCACACAAAAAGAGAAAAGAAAGAAGATCATGAAGGGGGGGGGGG